TGTTATTATATTCTACGAGTAACTAAAAAAAGAAAAAATTGTTTTGATTAAAAATAAAACAAGGAGGGGGTCCTTTATGTTTATTTCATAAACATTATGCTTCCTCATTGTTTGAAGCAAAAAATTCGCTTCCTCGTGAAGGAAGCAATGAATTTGTCCAATTCAATTGATTGATTTAAAAAATTTCGAGTTAAAAATGTTTTAAATTAATTAAATTTTTTGAAAAATAAAGAAATTTTAATTAATTTTGAGTGTAACATAAACTTTATATATACGAATCGATTCGTTTTAATGCAGGGAATAAAATTATTTCATATATAAACATGAATTTAAATAAACACATAATTTTTTAGCTAAAATGAGAATTTTTGATTTTTTAACTTTCATTAATTCTTTAAATTTCAATCAAATCTATACTTTATATATATCAATCGATTCATCTTGACATAAAGAAGACGATTATATTATATATTACCTTAAATTTTTCGATTTAAAAATTTTTTCAATTAAAAAAAATTTTTTGGAAAAAAGACGATAAAATTTTTTTTTTGGGGTATTTTTAAAAATCCTCTCGTCATTTTTGAGAGATTAATGTGTTAAATAAGCCTACCAAATTTTATCCAAATCCATTAAAACCTGTTAAAGATATCGTGTTCACAAAAACGATCCACACACACATACACACACACACACACACACACACACACACACATACATACACACACACATACATACATCCGGACAATTGATCAGGATCTCATATAACATGTTTCTATATAGAGGAAAATTTGTTTTCACCATTTTTAAAAATTTTATAAACGAAAGGACTACATAGCTTCCTCCACGAGGAAGCAAAAGTTATTAATTTTTTAATAAGACATTGCAAAATTCATGAACTGCAATTTTCACCCTGTGAGGAATTTTTGTAAATTTTCACCAGCAACAAACTTCCAGTGAGAAAGTTGTTCATTAAGGTCCAAAGAAGTTTTCTGGAAAGTTACAATGCAATTGAACGATTAATAACGATAAAAGTCCTTCCCTTTTGTAATTATTGAAGCAAAGGGAGTTGATGCTAAGGGAGTTAATGCTAAGAGAAAAATTTTACTCCCAACTCCGTTTGCCATTAACTTTTCAAATTTTTTATAAGGTACAACTTACTTTATACGACTGCTAAAATTTAATAGTTCCTAAACTAAAAATAGTATTACACTGTAAAAAATGGAGTTGAATTTCAACTCCCTAGGGGATGCTATATAAAAGTCCCACCCTTTTGGAGTTGAAGTGAAGGGAGTTAATGCTTTACAAGTTAATTTCATGCCTAGGGAGTTGGTTGTAAGGAGTTAATTTAATTATTAACTCCCTTTTTGAGTTGATTTTTAACTCCAAAATTTTAACTCACACTGAGAAAACGATATGTTTGATTCAAACATAATATGTTTAACCCAAACTTAAAATAGCTTTGTTATACAGTCAAACATATTTATGTTTAAATTAAATATATTCTCTGGTTGATTCAATGTGAAAATATATTTAATTTAAACATAAATTATGGTTGATTTCAATTTATTCAAAATAAATTTTTATGTTTAAATCAAACATAAAAATTTTAAACATATTTTCAGTTTAAGCCAAACAGAAAATATGTTTGAATCAAACATAATTATTCAAACAAATAATAATTTTAAGCCAAAGTAGAAAATATTTTCTATATATTAAAATTAACACTGTAAAAAGAAAGGTATTAATTTAATACCGACTTCAGGTACTAAATTGTCATTTGGTTCTATTTTAGTACCTAAAATCGGTACTGTTTTAGTACTTTCTTTTTACAGTGAAACATAAAAACTGTGTTGGGTTAAACAAAAACTTTTAAACTGATCTTTATATTTGAAACAAATAATTCTTTTTCTCAGTGCACAACTCCCAGTAACTTTAACTCCCTAATTTTTTTTACAGTGTATATTTATTATAATAGAATAATTTTTTCAATGTGGAACAATTTTAAATTCATCATTAATCAAATTTAACTCTCAATATAATCTATAAACCAAATGAATTTTTAATTAAATTGACCAGAAATTAAGTTATAATAGAGTGACATGTGAAATAAATTCTATTTCTATAAATGTTGAAGTTCGCGTCTTGATTAATCCAATGCAATATATTCTGGTGATTGAATTGTGAAGTCATGATTTCTTTTTCTCTTTATTATTATATCAAAGAAGGTCAAAATGGCGGGCCATCCGTATCCGTGTAGATCGTGTTCGAGTATTTACGGGCGTGGTTGTACACAGGGGTCGATGAATGTTTAACGAGGCAAAGCGTTGGGGTCGGTTGCTAGTAGGTAGATCGAAGCGATTCAAACGACGGATTCGAATGTTTGACAGTTTAAAAGCCAAGAAGCGGCAAGCGAAAGAGAGCGAAAGGGATATATTGGGGGTGGGCGAAAGCGATAGGGTGGAGAAGAGAGGTGTCAGAAGGAGTGAAAGAGATTGTAGAGAGTTTATATAGAATGTATCAGGAGAGAAAGAGAGACAAAGCAAACCTGGTCGAGGGAACGCGACGTCAGGGTGGGTGTACATTATGTAGGGACAGGACTAAGCTGTTAGATGTCTGAATTATTAAGCCCGAGTTATCTCATCTGTACCTACAGTCGTCTCGTTACTTTAAACAGCGTTGCTGCAGCTGCTTCGTGAAAAAACTTACCTTTTAAATTTTATTTTTTTTTTACTTTGATTCCTAATCGAATCCCATTCAGACTGTTTTTTCCGAATTATTATTAGAAACTTATTCTTCTGAGAAAAAGACCCTTTTAAAAACTTTTATTTTACACCCCAGTGAGTGTAAAATATTTATTCTGAATTTTTCGATATTTTTTCTGTGTTGATGATATAAATAAAAAATGGATTTTTAAAATGAAAATAATATATTTATATATTTGCGATGACTAAAAATGTAAATTAAAATATTATTTAAAAATTTATGATACGTTGACAGTATGTTGGGTTTGATTAGAATTTAGTATCGGGAGAATAAGAAATGGAGATTGGGGCAAGAATGAGAAAGTTTAGGTTGAACATTACGTTAGGTACATGCTCTTTCGTTATTTAAAAAGTATATATGTATATATTCTTGGAGATTATCGCCATGGGATGTCTCGCCCTCCAGTCGCTTTGGCAATATCGAAAGTTAAGCTATATACGAACGAACAGGGTCCTTTTTAATCTAAATGACGTGTTTTTCGTCCTCTTTTATCTTGAATAGTCCCCGTACTCACGGCTCCCAATACGTCTACCTGATAGCAGTGTGTGCTACAGCCCATGACTCGCTGCTAAACCACTATTAACATTCCAAGCGCGGTTTCTACCTTCAACAGTTTTTTTTTATTTTTCCTTTCAAAATTATTCAATCACACTACTATCTTCAAATTTGCAAATATTTTAGTCTCAGAATTAGTCATGTACTTCGATTCAGGCTTAATGTAATATTATAAAAGAGTACGGGAGGATGGGGCAAGGATAGTAAGTTGATGTTATGCTTAGACGGCTTGCTCAAAAATCGCGTCATTCATGGTATATTTGCGTCTTAACACCAATAGACGATAGTGAAAATTGGAAGTCAATCTGCCACCATTTTCGAAGTAAGGAGTTTATTTTTGTAAAAAGTCTTTTTTGCTGAAATGTCAACGTAGTGTTTTCCGGAGTAGAAGTTCCTGCTGAACACGAATATAGTATTTATTTTCAAATTAATTCATGTCGTTCCTTAAAATTTAGAAAAAACTGAAATATGGGGTCATGGAGCAAGTATAGTTAGAGCTACTACGGCTCGATAAAATCCTGCTAATGCGACTGCAAATTATAAAAAAAAATGTTTAATTGTTCTTTTTAGTTTGATGTACATAATGGTGCGTATAATTATATGCGGAAAACGAACCTTATTGACCAAAAAATTGGTGATCATCTGAAGAAAATTGGTTAAACCTCAGATTCTAGTTCAGACGTATTTTAATGCAATAATTGATATTTAGAAAATGTTCAAAACATGTTGTTAATACTTGATATATCAATATTGAATAGTCTAAATCCCACAGAAAATTAAAAGGCATTAAAATAAGCTGCAACGCTTCTTATTTTAATCCAATTTTGCTTATTTTAATACCAAAATGGATTAAAATAAGCAAAATTGGATTAAAATAAGAAGCGTTGCAGCTTATTTTAATGCCTTTTAATTTTCTGTGCCAATAAAATAAAGAAAATGAGAATTTACTGATTTTCTATGACATTTTAAGCATTCGGATTCTTTTAACTATCCTTCCCCGGTACTGGGGCAAGGATAGTTAAAATTTTTTTTTACTTTTTCATTCGTATCTCGTAGGGATTGCAGTCTACAGCAAAATAATGTATAGCAAAATTATAGCCAAATAACCAGGATTTCTAAAAATACTACTCGTTTGCAGATACAAATTCAGGTTTTGTCGCTAGATTCGAAAAAGTCTTACCTAACTATTCATGCCCCATCCTCCCCTACGCAGAGGGAAATTTACACTGTTAAAAAAAATCTTTATTTCAAAAAAAAAGATTGTATGGGTCAGTATTATTTTGACACAAAATTTTTTGTAACAATTGTTATATTGTACAACCAGGGATAATGTTATTTTAGACAATGATTAAAATTCAAAGTATTATTTTCTATAATTGAAAATAACAAGTTAATTTATTCTTAAAATTATACATATAACAATAGTACGAAATAACATTTTAGATTTTCATATTATAGTTGCACAAACTAACATTATCATCGGTTTGTACAACATAATAATTGTTACAAAAAAAATTGTGTCAAAATAATACCAACGCATATTTTTACATCAGTTTTAGTAATTTTAGAAAATATAGTTCAAAAAACTAATATATATTTATATAAAAAAATATATTTATTGAAATTTAAAAATGATAGGTATAGACAAGTATATATAAATTTTATCTCTGCGGATATCTTACCTCCATTTCGTTCGCCTGTTTTGAAACCATGTTTTCACTTGGGCATCCGTCATCTTTAAAGATTTCGCGAGCGCAGCTCTTTCGGCTGAGGCCAAATATTTTTGCTTGTGAAAGCGTTTCTCCAACTCGGCGATTTGTAACCTGGTGAAACTTGTTCTTGGCTTCTTCCGTTTTGGCGGCGTCCTGTTCTGATAAGGATGACCAATTCGCCTTGGAAACGCTCCAGCCACTGCAATACAAGAAAAAATCATTTTAAATCAGTGTTTTACACTTTCTGAAAAAAAAACAAAGAGAATTCAAAGATGAATAAAATCTTTATTAACTTAAATCTGTAATTTGTTTTTGTTTATCTCTAAAAGAGAAATTTTCAATTCAATTTTAAAAAAAAATTTTAAAAATAACTGAAAAGTAATTTAAATATTATAAATAATAATTAAACATAATTTTTTGGTGGATATTGTTAAATTTATTTAAAAATTGAAAAATTGTTGTTTTTTGTGTTAATAAATGTAGAAAGTTTTTAAAATATAAAAAAAATATAGTGTTGGTATGGGGTCAGTATTTGATAAAATCAATGGATTAGCAAGAAAATTGTGTTTTATAGTTTACATTTTTTTTTCTAAATTGTAATTTGTTTTGATTTTTATCTTAAAAGAAAAAGGTTTCAATGTTGTTCCTATTTTTTAACAAGAGTAAATTGTTTTAAAAAAAAAGAAAACTACAACTGTTTTTGTTCTAAATTGAAAAAATCTCACTTTAGTCTGCGGAAAATATGGTAAACAAATAAAATAGAGATATGTTTACAAATTGCAAAGTAAGGTTAAACGAAATATTGCAAAATGCTAAAAAGTATAGTTATTAACCTGTTTTTTTTCTTTATGATTAGGATCTGTTGAATTTTTTTTATGTAATATACATTTAAATGGAATGAAATATTTATATATATATATTTTACAGTAGAAATAAAATTAATTTTGTTTGCAAATTAAATAGCTTTACATCCTATACAGTATTTAATAAATATAATTCATTTTCAGTTAATTATATATATTAAGAAAATATTTTAAATTAGCACAAGTCATATATCCGCATTTATAGTAGCGTAATTTAGTTCAGGATTTTGGTTCGAAATAGACAAAATGCAATTTAATAATTTTGGATAGTTAGTTTTGAATGAAAATGTCGGGGAAGATTTCAGCGGAAGAAAATTTGACAGGTAACTGAACGAGTTTGTGCATTCAAACCCGAGTAAAACGTTAAAGTATTATAAGGCTCACCAAGCGAATATTGTTCATTACATCCGTCTCTCTTAGCTATAATCCATGTTTTACCTCCCTTTGCTCATTTAACCCCTTACCCCCTTTTTCGAAAAGAGCTTCACTTTAACTACATCTTCTCTCTTTCTCTCTCTCTCTCTCTCTCTGTTCGTCTCTCTTTCTCTCTTCATTCAACCCTTTTAGACAACGAAGCTTTTGCATCACTCTCTCTTATTAGGACGATAATCGTGTACCAGCTATTACATCCGTTAAATTATCATGCTCATGATGCCATTTTGTCGGGCCCTCTCTCTTCCTCTTGTAATTCACTCATAATGACTTTTGTATATATATAGAATTTGCAGTATACGTGTATATATACATAAACACTCGATGAAATGAAAGTGTTTAAATATGATAGAAGTTTTAAAGTTAGATTAACATTTTACAAGAATTGAAAATCCGTTTATTAGGCATATTATTATTATTATTTTTTTTATTATAATTACTATAGTCAAATCTTTACAAACTACTATAAATTTTAAATTTATACATTGTACATAAGCTACATTGAAGTTTAGAATTATTTGGTAATGCTTCAAATATTGTTCCTATACGTTAATATAACTGTACGTATATTACACTGTAAAAAATTTGGGGAGTTAATAGCATCCGAAGTTGGGAGTAAAATTTTTGGAGTTAAAAATCAACTTCAAAAGTGAGTTAATACATTACACGGAAAAAACCTGAACTTCAAATGAGTTCGATCAGACTCAATTTGAAGTACAACAAAAATGAGAAAATGCTAAACGACATAGAACGTGGCGCCATCTTACTGATTCATTTTTGTTGCACATCAAATTGATTCTGAAATTAACTCATTTTGAGTTTAGGTTTTTTTTTAACTCTCTTAGCATCAACTCCCTCTGTTTTAACTCCAAAAGAATGCGATTTTTATTGAGTTCGTTTTTTACGGAGTAAGTTGCATGTAAAACTTTTTAGTTTCGATTTTTCATATTTCTATTATATACGCACTTTAAGAAATAGGAGTTAGATTTTAACTTCCAACTCTATAAAAGTTCCACCCTTTTGGAGTTAAAGCAAAGAAAGTTAATGCTAAGGGAATTAATTTTATGCTTAAAGAGTTAATGCTAAGAGAGTTAATTTAATGTTAATTCACATTTGGAGTTGATTTTTAACTGGAAAAAATTTTACTCCCATTATTTATTCTCGAAATTTTTTACATTATAACTTATATACATCAAAATTTATTTGATCAAGGGAAGGAATTCAAGATCAGTCAGAACAAGTAAATGTCATTCAAATTGTACAAAGTGGCTTGATGGGTTGTATATATAGAGGATCGTTATCTCATTGCGTTGGTAAAGTGGCAGATTCACCGTATTTGCGGTTTAACATTTACCTTGACACAACCTCAAAACCTATAAACACTAGGTATTTCACTATCAGGAATCATCAGGTACCTAGTGATTTATTCTAATGAATAATACTTCTTCACAATAATCTATTTACGTAAGTTTATAGATTTCATCAAGTCTCGTTCTCCCTACATTTTAAAAAATTTATTTTTAAAATTCAAAGTGTAAATAACACATTATTTTATCTTAAAAAAAAAAAAATTATTTAGTTTCAATCTCGAAAAGTGTGAATGCTTGCATGTAATTGGACGGACAAAAACTTTAAGCCAATGAAATGTTAAATTATTAATGACTCAAAATGATATAGTTAAAAAATATGCTTAGCAAAGATTTAAAATTCAAGTGTTGTTACACTTATTTTAATAAGAAATTGAAGTTTGTATTCATATGCTATATTTAAGATCTATATAGAGTACGCTCGTAAAAGCAAAATGGTGTTTGTAGCCGCAAAATGGCTGATATAAATAATGAGCCTTTTGTATGTCGATAGAGTTTTCTCGTCGCAATTCATTAAATTTTAAATATAACTTTCCAGATCAAAATTCACTTTATTTATATGGAAATCTTTTTGAAGTTTTTAATTTTTGACGATACGGTTTTTTCTAAAATCAGTCAAAACGTTATGAACAACCCTTTATTTCAGGATACGATAAATTATAATTTTAAAATTAGTTTATAAATTAAGGCAGTTTATATTTTCAATGGAAATGAGATATCTTTAGCAATGAAATGCTAACAAATTTGATAACAAATTTTCATCAATTTTCTTGAATAAAACCACATTCACTATAAATATGGTCTTATAAGCCTCTTTTAATAATATATAGGGAAACAAGGTTGTCGTTCTTGATGTCACCTAGTCTAGAAATACACAGTAATAATTATCAGCTTTCATCATCTTTGACCCACTGAGCTTGAAACATAACCTTTGTCGGCTTTAGTTTTCTGTTGTGAGTCAAGTTAGAATCATCCTGATGATGCAACTGTGCAACCGAGCTGTGACAGCATTAGAGAAAGTCATTATTTCGTGTTGAGAGCGTTTCGTCCAGTAATGGAGTTTGTGGCCTTCAAAGTAAATTGTTTTCTGCCAGGATTCCATGACCATAGCCAAAGAGAGAATCATGTCCTTTTCTGAGTGAATTAAATCCCTTTTGTAAAATACCAAAGACATGATGTGGAACGAGAAAAATTTCTTTCGAATATAATTTGTTTTTCATAAAGTTATCTTTATTTTTTAGAAAAATTTCATCTCGATTGTATATTTTAAAATTTATATATACTCATATATTATATTGCAATTTTAGTTTATATATTTCAAAATATTTTTGTAAATATATAATTCGCTATGATAACTTATAATTGCTAATTACTGTGTGTTTCTGTGTATGTCAGTTTCAATCAGTATACAAGATAGTTTTTTTATTTTAAAACCCTTTACACAATAAAGATATATTTAACACTTTAACTTGTCAGCTGAATAATGCTTCGATTTTATCTGCTCGACAATTGCGTGTCAGTTAAGAACCGCATAGTTGACTACTGGTTTATTGAAGCCAACACAGACAATTTGTGACTTAAACGCGTTGGTTAACCAGTTTAGTGAAGCAATTATTATTATAAACTAACTTTGTCATCTATTATACACCTAAAAATTAGATTATAAAAATTTTTTTCCATTAATCATTAATTAGTTTTTTTTGAAATTTATTTCAAAATCAATTATGTGGATTTTGAGGTTTTATTTCTTGTAAAAAAATATATATGTAAATAATACTTTATAGTTTCAAATTAGTAATTACATTTTGTATTCTAATTTTTATTAAAAATAAATAAGCTGCAATTATTAACACATTCTGAGATTTGAATCTGTCAAATTTGACTAATTTAAAATGCTAGTTTTAAAATTAAATTATCAGATTAAAATTGACTTGAAATAAGTAATAATTCTAAATGAAAAAATTATTGATAAATTTGAGATTATTTACAGTTTGCACTTCTGATAGATTTTGGAAAATTTTTGTTGTAACTACTAAAATTTGATATATATTGTGAGAAAAGGGACCTTATCTCAAACAAATTTTAGGTTATGCTTAGTGATATTTTTACCTTAATAAGAAGTTTCAAGTTTGATTAGATAAAATCAAAATTAGTTTTTACTCAATTTTTTAAATCTATATGACTTAAACAAAACATAAATGTTTTGTATTGAGTTGATTCTCTGGAAGTGTAATTTTAAAAAAAACACACTACAAATTTTTTCAACGTCAGATTTGACAGATGTTTTTAAATAATTGCTATTTATTATATGCGGTTAATAATTTAATATTGATAAGAAATATAATGCAAAATATTTTATCAATGAATATATATTTTTTTATATGTTGAAATAGTATATGTTTATGATATCTATTGTAATAAATGAAAAGAAAAATACAAATGTTAATTCGAGACATCAATTCTTCAAATCATATTACTATGGATTTATGCAGAATCATTTAGAAATCCGCCCCCTCGTTAAAATGGCAGCAGTTAAT